ACGCAGACTGATAGGCGTGTTGTTTCGGGGATCGTACTGATCGCTCTCCGGACTGAGATGTATCTCTTACAGAAGGATGGTTTGAAGGCAAAAAACATTAGAATCAACATTTCCATACATGAGTTACAAAGGATGCTTTTGCTTTACGGAATCTTCCTATTACGCAATAATTCGGACGGCTTGTGATAATCTATTGAGAAGTAGATTTGCATTTGCAAAAGCTCAATTTAGGCGTCGATCATGTAATAAATATTAACTAACGTCAACTGCAAATGCGGTCGGTAATATCAACTTCCCTAGCATCTACTCTCAGGGAGGCAGTACTATGCAAATATTTTTATCTGTATACATAATTAGAGTTTTTGTCAGTGGTCATGAGACTACAGCGCGACATCAAATTATGCTCTGTTTACTGAGGGACAACATCTAAAAGCCAGCTTATTCGTTGTACAAGCGAAAGTCCAAATTGTCCACAAGACTAACGCGAATATGGAGGGCCAGATTATGCACAGGTAGCTGTAATGATGGCGGTCAATCTAGAGGTCATGCCTAATGTGTCCTGACTTATCTTGATTTTAGACCAAAAGAAAATCTTTTGTTTGCAATTGGATTGGCAAAGATAAGTGTTGCAAGAAAAAATGTTTGTGGGGGAAGGACTAGAGATGTGAGACTTGCTGTACCCTACCTTCCTTCACAACTCGAACAAGAAAGCTCCATTGGCATTTGTGCAGCTGACATTGGATAGAAAAGTTATCGGGCGGCGAGGCATTCGAAGGCAGGTGAAGAAAGCGTGTAGAAAATGTGATACCCGGTCGGCTGCATTTGCATCTGGCGTCTTTAAATATCCGCTCAAATTCCTCCTCCTTTGCCAGCGCCGCTTTTGCCTCCTTACTGGTGGGTGAGCAGAGCACGATCGGCTCTCTGACTCGGCCCCACGAAACAAAAATTTCCTTTTTGCACATGTATGTCAGGTAATTGCGTAGAGCCACGGTGCGCTGAACTGGTCCTGGATCATCTGCTGTTGTGGCAGTTATTGTGACCATACTGAGGCAGAAGATGTTGTTAAGTGTGAAGCTGTCCGAGAAGCCCTCCATCAAGGCATATCCTTTCGCGTCGATGAGGTCGGCCTTCAATCCACTGGAGCGACAATGTGGCCCAAGGCAGACCTGCAGATTTATTTTCATATTCGGTCCTTGCTCGTAGGTAGTTTGCTCCGGAAACAATTTCATGACTGAAACAGCATCAACAGGAGGAAGTAACGATTAAGTCGGGGTGGATGAAAGGCGAAGTTAATGCTCTTGTCACATGAGGTCTTTGAGAGGCTCAAAGTACTGCACAGTTGGATATGATTGCCATGTATATTTCTGCGATATTTACTAGAGCAATTTTTATTGAGGGCTAAATTCACACGTTTAAAGATTTTGGTGAAAGCGTGTTTGTGGGCGCATACCATCTAATTATACTCTAGTGATAAAGCTTTGATACGTTCTCCTGGCATAAATGTCTACCAATGTTTCCTTTATTCAATAGACAGAGGATTAGGCAAATATAATTGTCAGTTGTTTTTGTCCACTCCTGAAAGAGAGCTTTACCGACGAACTTCTACAGTTTTTTTTCAGAAAACGGCACCTATTAGTGTTTGATTAACAAGTATCCACGTGTAAATCACTGGGTTCGCTTTCAGCTTGATGAATCGTACGGTAGACATAGTCAAATTCGACGATCCAACTGTCACATCTTGCTACGTAAATATATTATACGTGAAAATCCGCTACATGGTAAGTTTAAATGGAACGAAAGCAAGAATAAAGAAGAACGAGCTGGGCAGGATATCCTTCGACCATTTTCACACCACCTCATGATCCCTCAACGGAGTGCTACTCATTTGTGACTAAAAGCATACTATTAGCAACTCTGTAGTGGATATTGTTAATCAGGGTGATGAACCACCGACTTCAAACCTTTGAGAGTGCTGATTTGTCAAATTAACTTGAATGCTTATTTTTATTCCTGATTTTGTTCTTTGGCATTATTTAGAGGATTTCATATTCATACTACCGAACTTATTATTGCACAGGATATTGAAGACACTCGTTTCCCTATTTTCCAGATGGTTTACTCTTCTTTATACTTCCACTTTCGTCTGGTTGCTGTATGACCCTTTAGGTGGAAAAGGCTGTTTAAATGTTCAAGGTCATTATGTTTGCAGTTAATTAGCTCATCTAACTGAAACTTTTGTTAACGACTCACTTTGCAAAGTTTTGTTAACTTTGAATTTCCATCTGCAGTCAAACAGTTGACAATCCACCGCATATACGGCTGTTTTGAGTTCATCTACTGAGAAGTCCGCGGTTCCGTTTACGTGATGTTTGGCATGACCTTGAATCTGGCACTTGCTGTCCCGTAGGAGGTGGGCGTAGTGCTTGTCTGTCTTCAAT